TTTGGACAAGAAAAGTTGCATAATGTTTACAGAGTTACGAAGGCATGATAAAAAGAGGGTTTTAACTTAACGTGGGAATTTGGGACCTAGAAACGTGCACATTTATTTCTTTTCCACCTTCAAACTCACCCCAAACGAATGTAAACTTGCAGGGAGGGAAACGAAAACACAATAAGACAAAGAGAACAACAGCAATTCAACGAAGGTAGAAATGAAAATGGAGTAGAGAACGGCAAAAGGAAAGAAAGGAAGGAAAACAAGGAAGAGGCAAGCTATCGATTAGTCTAATTTGTTCGTGAAGGGCATCGGAACAGAGGGAAAGTGCTCCTTGGATTTCTTGATTCTGAAACAAAACCGGAAGTGTTTAACTACTGAAATTACTTTAACAACCAACACCGAAGGAAATTAATGACTAAGATGCGAGCAGCACTGATAATGGAGTTGCTTATAGTTACGCAGGCATCTGCCTTGTGCTTAGCTTCGGAAAGTCTCTTGCCGTACCTACAAGCAAATAATTAAGTTATTACATGTAACTATCTAACTTTGTAACTGACTGGGAAATAAGTACAGCAGGAACTATCGGTGCAATTAACTGACTAAAGAACTAATTGATCAGCCCGGGGAGGAACCATCAGTCGACTTCACTTTCACACACTTACTATCAGGATGGATCAGTTTGCCGATAATTGCGTACAACGGAGGTCGAAAGTACAGCTGAAGATTAATAAACTCTTCTCGGGCTATCAGCCGTGTTAGATGGTGATTAATCGCCGACGTTTCGAGAACCATCTCTGCCCTCATTATCAAGGCTATTGACTGTGTGGCTCGTAGCGCAAAATCACGTCTCTGACACGACACTTTCTTACGAATAGAATTGGCATTGGTCTTGTACGGGAGCAACATTTTTTCTATTTGACACAGGAATAGATTCAGATAAAGGGTAGGTAGGTTAGATAGTGCTGAGGTAGGGGTGAGAATCCCTCTTCATGGACTGTAACCTTGACGTAGTGAGAGGGCTTCCGTGCCTCTTTGATCCTGAGGGAAGTGCAGAATCAGGGGGTCAGGCTAATGGAAGTCCACTTGAAACTGAAAAGGCGTTTTCTGTCACGTGGAAATCCTTGAATTATGAACGAACAAATGATATTAATATAGTACTAACATTCTGGTGCAACTGTGGCGTGAATTTTGAAAATTGTGAGAGAAATATGCGCTTAAGATACGTTCGTTTAGAACATCCTAAATTTTCACAATTATGCTTAAATTATTTTATTCTTAGTATTTTAAAATACGTGATTTACCAAGGGAAAAGACATAGTTGCAACTAAAAGTCTCAAATTTCAAACACAGAAGAAGAGTTTCCATTATATGATGAACAGTTTAGTGTATTTTGAGCTTAGAAAAGAGTAATCTGCAATTTTTCAAGAAAATAACTTTTTTAAAAAAGAATTCATAGAAAGAGGTCTTCTACTTTTCCGAGGATTCACAAAAATACTTTGTTGATACACACAGAAATCAACATTTCAGATTAAATTACTATTCACAACGGTTTGCAATATTTGTTGGTAAATCGCTAGTCAACAGCTACGTTAATAGGACGTAGGGTCGAATATGGTTAAAGACAAATATCAGATAAGGGACTGTAATTAGTCATATTTTACCCCACCTACTCCAATTTTATATAACAAAAGTGCTAACGACCTATGTCCTCTTATATTTGTGAACAGATTTTGTCGTTCTTTTTTTCTTTAATGTATTTCATATCCTCCCACACCCTTATCCTCGTCATTAAACCAATTACCATGATGGCTTCCAGCACTCAAATATGCACTGAAGTATCACGCCGCCAGGAAGAGCAAAGACCTGACTTCAGCTATGACAGTAATTAATGGTCAATGTTTCCCAGAATGTCTGTAGTTACGCTGAAGCTCTCCTTCCGCTAGCGATAAAGGAGCTTTCCTGCTCCCCATTCCACTTTTATTTTCACTCTATTGAAAAGGCCAGAGACCACCATAAAGTAATAAAGAGGTACCTGCTTCAAGTATCGCCTTTTTTCAGTAAGCAGATACACTGAAGCTATTCTGGTGAAAGCACGGCCAGCAATTGTTAAGTGTAGAGTTAAATATGTCGTCATACAGAACACGGCATTGCTTACTATCGTACCACGGACTCTTAACTCTCAGATAGAATTTTTGTCACTGATGGAAAAGCACACGCAAACTCTAACGAATCCACTCATTCTATGAAAAATAAATATTTACGGAACGATGCTACAAAAAGATGGCGTTGTGTACGGTCCTGCTTTTTGGTGAACGCAGACACCGCTTGTCCCCAAATTCCGACTGGCCAAGTAATAGCTTGAAATTATTTACGTTCAACAGGATGAGGAAATATATCACAAGCCGCGTACCAGTGAATGAGAAACAGAAGTGGTCTTGCACAGAGCATATATATATATATATATATCGAAAGGGATGAAAACTCGAGGGAAACATAAATTCATGGGCCTACTTTGTAGCGAAAGAAGTCCTGGGGAAAATGTTTGGGCTCATTTCCTTCGTATGTTTTGATCTACGTCGCGAAGCTCGCAAGATATTAAAATTTATCACTAAATTTCAGCTCGTAATTTCCACTAGAACAGATTCTAAAAAATGTTCTACCCAGGTGTTATGTGCTTCTTCACAAACAAGACAAAATACTTCCACAAAGAAATTTTTATGTCTGTGTTCTATTGTGGATAAAAATTCGTATAGTTAAAAATTGTTAATTAAAAATTATTCGTAACGTACTGAACGAGCACATTTCATAAATATGCTAAACGAATAACAATAGCGTAATTAATTATTAATTAAAACATCATATCCTACTACTTAAATCATCAATGCACCATTTTAAAAACATTATACACCAACCAGCAAAACATTCAGTGCTCCTACAGACCTGATTTGAGAAACTGAAAACATCCTTGGATAAGCCAACAGTTCCTGTACTCTGACTGGAGTTCTCAGCGCGAAACAAAGCACAAAGAACTTTATCTGTAGTTGAAATATCAGATTCTGACGTCAGTGAATGTGAAGATGACTTGTCTTCTGCGGTGTTGCGTCGTGCAATATGGCAGAAGTTTACCGACGTTTTAGAGACGATTTCTGCCTCCATCATCAGAATAATGAATGAAATTCGTGAGTGTGCTAGAGGCCCCAAAACTTGCATTTTATAGGACACTATTCAGAAAGAACAGATGGGTTCTCCCATGTGTAGATCCGAGGCACCCGATCTCTTTGCCTCAACCGGTATTCTCACATTTTCTGACTTGTTTCTGTCTACTTTCGCATGTTCTCATTGATTTCGTTTCTATGGCACGTATTTCCGCCTTAAATTTATTTACAAAGCTGTTTAGTTGGTGCGCATAATTTGTAAATCGTTCTCTGATTTATCTAAACAATCTTACACGTGAATAGTTCATCATGTCTAATGCAGCAGTTTGCTGTATCCATGATAACATTTCTGGTATAGACGGGATGGATTTATAGATACTACCGCTATCCTGAATGGAGTGTGTATGATGCTAGTACACGCCATTCAACATAGCCGGTCGACAGAATCGCTACCCTCACCAACACCTTTTACACATACATGAATTTCAATAGAACAGCGATAGCTCAGCCAATATAGTAGCTGAGGGCTAAACGACCCTGAATCCTGAATCGATTCAAGCGAAAGAATAAGCAGGTACATGGGTTTTTCTCGATACCCAGTCGAAAGCGGATGTGAGATCCACCCAGCATTCATTTAAATTGGTACAGGAGTTATAGCGGCTGATCAACTCACCTCTGCCTAATGACGATGTTAAAAATGCGTGGAGCTCTATCCGCTTAAGGCGTGATGCTTTGACATTGATCTTAACTTTGACCTCTTTATTACTCACAACATCTGTATTAAACCGACTTATAACATAGTCCAGTGGCCGGCTCTTTTAAAACTGTAATAAACTTTTGGTTTTCATTTTATTGACTAAACCAGTTGAGGGATTATCAGCTTATCAAGATGGACTCTGCTACATGGAGATATTTACATGGTTCAGTGGCAAATGCTCAGGGCTGGCTAGCAGTTCTCCGCAGGGACTTCAACCCTGACGATGATTTCAGTATATTCCTCCGAAATGTTGGAATCTGCGTAAAAGTCCACAGGGCATTACAGCCCAAAATACCAATGCGTATATTTTCCACCACCTTTAGAACCTCAGATCTCATACAGGCATATGACAAATTCTGCAGCGTATTATTGTTTTTTTATCGTTAACTTTAAAGAATTTATAAAATCAAACAAAGTGACACACGTACTCACTCACCTTCTACGAACATCCAAAAAAAGTTGGTGAGATGGAAGTAATGCAACAGAACAACAAGGACGACGCATGAAGTGGTGTCTTCCTGCACCGATATCTGCGGAGAAGCAATATCACACGTCACAAAGCGTCACACAGGATATAAAGAACAGCTGGAGGTTACATCGATCCGAGCATCGGTGCCAGGTGCCATAGGCAGGGATTTTATGTCCGTTACACAAGGCATTTTACTGGCGAGAACGTAATAACTTACATCGTTAACGGCTACAGAGCCGTTTTGAATGAACCGAAGACAGATATTATTAGCACCCAAAATGTGCAAATAAATGAGGATCGAGGGCATGTAACACCCTTGTAATGCCACCGAAACTCACTTCCCTCAGCTAACTAAATGACCACTGCAAGAAACTTGTGTTAATTCATACAGTGTTATGGTATGGCACGTATTATATCTCTCGCTGAAAAACCAAGAATATTTATTTATTTGGTGTTCTGTCTGACGACAGGTCCATATGAACAGGATCCTTCCATCCTTTTCTCGGACTGGGACCTGTTCATATACGTTCTTGGCAGATGATCCATTGCCTTCTTCTGTGTGTGAATGGAGTAATTGTTAGGATGCCACGGAGAAACCGGGGAAGCCCCCGGAGGAAAACTCCGTGTTGCCTAGACCACGGCCTTGCCCGTTAACTGCAGAGGGACGGTGGAACACGTTCCTTCTTTGATCTTGTCGACCCTGAGCACACTAGGACAGAAGGGCCAGTTCTTATAAGCGAATCATCTCGTGCGTAACATGAAAAATTTTGACTGGCCCAGTTTCTCGCATACATATATATGTTTCTCTTAAAAATAAGAAGACTAACTTTATATTCAAATTTCCTTTCAAATATATCTGTATTATTACGGAAGATACCAACACACCAAAGTCATTTTGCTAACTGTGTCTACTAAATGTTAAATAGCTCTTACCTGGTAATTATAACTGCGAAAGTCGTATCACACAAAACTCCGACGTACTTTTAATTTATACAAATCGTTTCTGCTAAGGAACTACCATAATATTTCCGTTTCTCTTCAATAAATGCGTAAAAGAAAGCACGTAATTTCAGAGGCTTGCCACGTTGGCATGATGGTGGACGTATATAGGAAAATCTCGTAGGAAAGCGTACAATTTCCGGCCGTACAGAACTTCACTCCATTACCCTACCTTACAAAGACTCATCATTTACTGGCAACAAAACATACAAGAGTAGATAGACTCGCGTATCTACCATTTGCGTTATTCCCAATTTTTCATACCTCACTGGCCTTAGCGTTCATTTATGAACACGTAGTTGCAAAGAAAGTCTCACATCACAAAGAATCAGAACACATTTGTTTCTTTTTTTCTCGTTATATATTCATTACATCGGAAACGAGTTTCAGATAAAAACTGTCGACCTTAATGAGGTCTAAAATATGGGTCAAATATCAAGTTATTTTACGATGCACCCTTTAATAAAGGCAACACATGGTGCTTCACATGATCGCCATGCATACAACTATAACACGTGTATAATATGGATTATGAAGAGGGCTATCTTCTGGGTTGTTGCGCCTTGTAGTCTGGTAGAAGTTTAACGACGTCGGTAAACTTCTATCAGATTACACGGCGCAAAAAAACCCCACAAGACAGCCGTCTTCAGACTCACCGCCGTGAAACCCTCAAATCCTACAATATGGATTATATTGGACAAATACAACGCAAATAAAATTCGCTCTACAACGTTTAGTGGAACCGACACAAAAATTGACTAAACACGTTGAGTAGCTTCGGAGACGTACAAATTGATGAACAGACACAATATTCCTGCACTTCGTACAGAGAACACATAATGGAAATAAAACATGCGTTTCTTTCGTCCAACAGACATGTAGTTATTTTATACTGTGGACGAAAGTGTAAAAGTATTTCTGGGGCGTAACTCCCGTCCGAAGGCTGTTTCCCTGAAGGTCAAACGGGCCATCCACCTTCATCCACTGCCAAGGTTAAGAGTATACGACACGGATCAGAGCGATCTTTATACGAGTCTGCAAATGAGAAATTAACCCCCTCGCCCGATATCTTTCCGGAGCGTCTAATGGGAAAGTCGTATCTGCCCCACGCTGTGCCAATAATACAACTCATTTTGTTGTGTGAATTCACCGAATAGAACGTAATTTCAATCACGTGTTACGTTTAAAAAACTTATAAAAACCTACAGAATGGTTTTATCATATCAAACAGGAAAAAAAAAATTCCTTTCTGAAGTGTGTTCAGATATTTCAAACGATGTACCCTGGTCATTTTTCTTCTTCTGAGCTCTGAGCTGATTTTTAGGTCGGTATCCTATTTTATATTTTCTACTGAGTTTAAAAATACAGCCCTGATTTAAATATTCTGTTATGTTGAAAGAATATTAGCACCAAAGACGATTAAACAGCCATTTGTTTTGAATAATGTATTTATAGAAGTGAATGTCAGAATTGAACCTACTTTAGTGCCACAACAGACGTCTTATCGTATTGCTTTCTCACACATTTACACAATCAGTACAAAACGAAACAGATGAACACAAAATAATATAAACCGTTTGAATAGAATGGCAGATGATAGGATACCCAAACAGATTACTCATTATAACCCAGAAGGATGCCGTTTTCGAGACAGATCTTATAAAAAATGAAATTATTTAGTGAGTCAGAACATGCTTGAATGCCTGTACGACGAAGTACAAAGCAGATATTTATATAACGCTACTTTATATTAATTTACTATTCTTTGCTTTCTAAATACGTTGTTATTCTAGGACTCACCTGGAGGGTCAGCGTGAGAATCCAGAATAAGTCCGCCAGCATGTATGTGGACATGAGGTTAGTATGGATTGTGTTCCTCAGACATCGGAGATCCCTGAAGGGAAGACAAATATAGAAATGTAAGACAGAATTAGAAAATACAGAAGGGCGTATCAACAAAACGACTTATTTAGAGGAGAATAAATTCTAACGCTAATTTAGTTTTAAAATAAAACTCGCTGTATCCCTGTGTGTACAGCACCATCAGCATTACGCTCTTCTGGCATGACATACATCCCACTATTTGATGACGACAGACCAAAAATATCTGCGATTATGAAAAAATGGTGATACGCCCTTCTACCATGAAGCTCTTGGCATGGCTACTAAATATTCGCACATACAACTTATTACACCCAGTGAAGGCAAATTTTGTTCACATTATTGTCTTGTACGTAGAAATGTTCTACCCTGAAGGTGTAAGCCCGACATTTATCTGCTCGATATCCCGAAAGTTGGTGTGACAGCTTCTGATTGGGTTATAAAGGCAATCATAAACAGGATTCAACCGAAATATTTTCAGAAATATTTGTGTGTTTTATCGGGACATATTTAAAATTTACAAACGGCTTCGTATAGGAAATTTGCAAGTCGGTCTTCTGGATGAAACTGTAAATAAATATGGGAGGAACATACTGCCTCAGTCTTCAGATATGTGGAGTTAATGTTTCTAAGAAAAGTTTATATATCTCTCTCTCTGTCTCTTTCTCCATCCTCACAAGGTTCTTATGTCTGCTGTGCTGTTATAACAGAATATAATAATTTAAACAAATACGTGGTTGAATGAGCACAAAATGCATAAAGATCATACCGAACTTTGAAAATCGCCCAACACTTCCAGACTTAAAAATATTTGTCTACATTTTAATGCTGGAAGAACAAACGAGCCAAGCTGAGCGCTGCAAATTCCTGAATGACTACTTTTTCGAGATCCCAAGTGAGTTTGTCACAAGTTCCTCAAAACAAATTTCTCTCACGCTGAACGCCTCATACCGAACTCCGCGGTGCAGTGGCTACAGTTCGTTTTTAATGTCATGAACCTCCGGGTCCCGATTCCAGACCCGTAGGTCGAAAAACTATCATAACTTTACTTTTAACAGCACTTCCAATTGTCAGCTTGAAGTAGTTCACAGTCGCCTCCTTTAAATTTCATTATTAATTCTCTCATTCGATTATGCAGATGAGAAATAACGTTCAGTAAACAAACGAAGAACGCAAAAGGATTTTATAAGAAGCCTATCTATAAGACCTTTAAATAATTACAAGGTTATTCCTAAGTATCAAAAGGATGAAGACTTTAATAACACTTTAGGCCACTACACAAAGTTCAATGGTTTGCTTTGTTCATTATAAAGTTTTATAAATATTTTGTGTGGAGAAGAATACAACGAGCCACAAATAATCTCCATTATATAAACTTAAGCCTCAAATTTCGTACCGATGGACTGAAGAAAACAACGATATCCATTCAGGCTAGTCAGTTCCCTGGACAAGATTATAACCCGGTTAATCCGTGCCACAAATCACGTTTTATGGCTGACCTAGAAATGGAACTGAAGTAAACAGGAGACCTGAAAACATATACGACATTGTTAGGAAAAGAGAGAAGATGGGAAGAAATGAGAGAAATACAGTGAAGAGAGAAGAATAAAGAAGAGAAGAATTGAAGAGGGGCTAGAGGAGCGAAGAGAATAGATGAGAGGAGTTGTGGTGAGGGGAAAAGGGTAGAAGATTGGAGAGGTGAAACGTAGAATCAAGAGAAGAGATGTGGAAAGAAAAAGAGAAGTGAAAGAAGGGAAGGAGACCAAAGGACAGGATAAGAGAGGCCAAGAGAAGTGAGGATTGGAGAAAGGAAGACAGTAAATGAGAGATGTCAATAGTGTAGGTTTGGTTAGTTTGGGTTAGGTTAGGTTAGGTTAGGGTGGGTTGGGTTAGGTTAAGTTGGGTTGGGTTGGGTTAGGTTACGTTGGGTTAGGTTAGGTTACGTCGTGATGATAAGGTTGGGAGAGTACACCTCGGTGAAATTTCGCCCTCGGACAGCGTCGCTAAACTTGGCGTCGATTTTCCTACACGGTACGCCAAGTTATACCAGAGGTATATGTCTCATTTCAGGCGTCTTTTGATGGCGTCACGACGAAAGGCGTCACGACGCTTGGCGTCGATTTTCCTACATCTCGCCCTACGTGATTCTAAGGTTTTATATATCTTTTGGCGTCCTTTGACGGCGTCGTGAAATAAATCGTCGCGACGCCCGGCGTCGGTTTTTCAGTTGAGTGTTCAGCATCATCTGGACGCTTATCTTATGCAAAATTAAAGTCATTTGAAGGTGTGGTGATGATAGGCGTCGCGACGCCGGGCGTCGATTTTCTACAATCGCCCCAATGTTATCCAAATGATTTGATTCAAATTCCTTGGGTATTCTGTTGGTATCGCGACGAAAGGCGTCGCGACGCTCGGCGTCGGTTGTGCAGTTCAGAGTTCAGCGTTATCTAGAAACTAATCTCTTGCAAAACTGGCGTCACTTGAAGGCGTCGTGATGATAGGTGTCGCGACACCGGGCGTCAATTTTAAAAGGCCCTCCCAAAGTTATACGAATGGCTTGATTCAAATTCCTTAGGTCTTCTGTTGGCATCGTTGTGTAATGTACGCCTCCATAAATAAAAAGCTCATATTTAGCGTACGTGGGCCTCGAGGTGCCTTTGAAAATGACGTTTGAGAGAGAAGAGATGTGTAAAGAAAAAGAGAAGAGAAAGAAGGGAAGGAGATTATAGGACAGGATAAGAGAGGCCAAGAGACGTGAGGAATGGAGAAAGGTAGAGAATAAATGAGAGATATCAGTAGTGTAGGTTTGACTAGTTTGGGTTGGGTTAGGTTAGGTTAGGTTGGGTTAGGTTGAGTTAGGTTAGGTTAGGTTAAGTTAGGTTGGGTTGGGTTAGGTTAAGTTGGGTTGGGTTGGGTTAGGTTAGGTTGGGTTGGGTTAGGTTGGGTTACGTCGTGATGGTAAGATTGGGAGAGTACACCTCGGTAAAATTTCGCCCTCCGACAGCGTCGCTAATCTTGACGTCGATTTTCCTACATGATACTCCAAGTTATGCCAGGGGTATATGCCTCATTTCAGGCGTCTTTTGATGGCGTCATGACGTAGGGCGTCACAGCGCTTGGCGTCGATTTTTCTACATCTCGCCCTACGTGATTCTAAAGTTTATATATATCTTTTGGCGTACTTTGACGGCGTCGTGAAGTAAGGCGTCACGACGCCGGTCGTCGATTTTCTAATATCGCCCCCAATGTTATCCGAATGGTCTATTTCAAATTCCTTTGGTCTTCTGTTGGCGTCGCGACGAGAGGCGTCATGACGCTCGGCGTTGGTTGTCCAGTTCAGAGTTCAGCGTCATCTGGAAACTAATCTCCTGCAAACCTGGCGTCATTTGAAGGCGTCATGATGATAGGCGTCGTGACGCCGTGCGTCTATTTTCTAAAGTCGCCCTAATATTATACGAATGGCTTGATTCAAATTCCTTAGGTCTTCTGTTGGCATCGCGACGAAAGGCGCCGCGACGCTCGGCGTCGGTTTTCTAATTGAGTTTTTAGCGACATCTGTGGTGAATTTGGAGTAATTAGAGGACGTCGAGATGTTCGTCGTCGCGACGCCTGGCGTCGGTTATCTATTAACTTTCCCAACGTTAAAAAGGGCGTCGTATTTGTGAAATGTTGAGATGGCGTCGTGAAGCGTTTGTCATAACAGTGGTCATGTTCTGAAATCGACGCTAGGCTTCGTGACGCTCAATGTCTCCATGCCAAGCATTGCGATGACTCTTAGAGGTACCAAATTTACCACCAGCGAGACTTCGGTCTACAGAAGACAAAAATGCAATACCGACGCCTAGCGTGACGACGTCATTACAGGTGCCAGAAATTTGACCAAAGCCCTTGGGGATCGTTGGAAGCGATGCCAGAAAGTCGCCGCCTGCCGCGACGCCTAAGACCGGGAAGTCTCGAAACGACGCCAGATTACTACAGATACATCTCCATATGACGTTGAAATGGAAAATAGGATATTGAAGCTTTCGTCTCTAAGGTGAAAGGAGAGGAGGGAAGAGAGTATAAAAGTGGAGAGGTGAAACTTAGAACCAAGAGGAGAGATGTGGGAATAGAAAAAGAGAAGAGGAAGAAGGAAATGAGGCAATTGGGTAGGATATGATAGGCCAAGTTAAGTGAGAATATGAGAAAGGAAGAGAGTAAATAAGAGATATCAGTAGAGTTTGTTTGGTTAGATTGGTTTGAGTTAGGTTAGGTTAGGTTGGTTTAGGTCAGGCCTGCCCTAACGTTTTGGTTGTGCGGGTAACTACGGCAAAATTTGGTCTGTATGCGGGAAACATAAAGTTCAATATATAAACTGTGTAATATATGATATATATACGTTACCTTTGTATTTTTTCTACACATTATATACAATGTCTTGCGTCGGTTTCCGATCGAGAGGCGTCGCTAAGATCGGTGTCGGTTTTCGAACTCTGTGTCTTTTGACATCCTTCATTGACTGAACTTAGATCCGAAAGGTCGCACAAAGATTGATACAAGCGCGTTTTCCTTAAACGTACTAACTACAGTTTTTCTTATTCCCGATAACAATTACCTTATTTCGGAAGTATAATACCGAGACGAGTGACTTTCTGGGTAACTCTATAGCCCATGGTTCTACCATAAGCATGAATATTTTAGGCATTATTAATAGATTTTTTGATACACTATGCAGTCAACATGACATGTCTTAAATGAATCGTTGAATTGGAAGTCACTATACAGGGGGACACAGGAGGAAAGGACGTCACCTTTTCAGACCAATCACAACACATATTTTGAAATCTCTTACAGCACCTAACCGGAAGAACTCAACCATAAAACGTGATTTGTGGCACGGAGGAACCGGGTTATAATCTTGTCCAGGGAAAACTGACTATCCTGAATGGATATCGCTGTTTTCTTCAGTCCACTGGGCCCTCTGAAATGGACATATATGTTGTAGGATTTTCGGCTTTCAAGGAAGTGTTAACTCAGATTGTATTCTTCTGGGTTCCAAAGCCGTGTGGACTTTTATTATATTCTGATATTAATTACCAAAGCTTTAAGATAGGAATGATATGTTTCCTTGCATAAACACATTTTTGTAAAAACATTGCCACCTGCAGTCTGCATTTGTGAAGTTTATCAGGAATCTTTATGTATAATGCATATGTAAAATCGATCGGCTTTTACAGCGAAGGGTCGTCAGCAATGTGGGCATATAGGAGGATGACAGATTTTGACACATTCTCGAGACAGGTAGACAGACAGACAGACATACATACAGACGTTTCGCACTCATGACTAGGTACAAGTGAAGCACATGGTGCTTTACAGTGACGTAAACTGAATCCCATTCCTTTAACGTTGCCAGCAATACAATGCTGAATTTTATGGTACAGGCGATAGTAACTTGGAGTATAAAGAGGATTTAGTGAAAGCAAAATGGATTGGTATTTATTTGCCTCTAGTAGACATGACACTCAACCGAACACTTCATCTGAAGAGGTGGTTGTCTAAAAGACGATAATGTTGATTATGTTTTAAACTGATAAAGCGTTTCTGATTGGTCAATAACTATAGGCCTATAATGATTAAAGGAAGTTTATATCCATTCTCAGCATAACGAATCACTTGAAGTTGACAAAACTGAATGCGACAATTATTACACTTATATTCACTATCGAATGTATGTTACCGATTGAGTGTTGAGGCTCCAGATAATAATTTATTTGGGTTTCACACTGGATATGAAGGAATATATATTACATACATACACACACACACACACACACACACAAATTGGTTATCCAAAAATTACCAATAATGTGTGATTTGTGATACAATGTGACACATTTACGCAGTTGTTTCAATAATTACTGCGTGAATCACATAAACTTTGAAGCATACGCGAAATGATTAAAAGACTAAAACTTCCTCTAAGTCTATGAGTTTGGTAATTATATTCCTTGTTTTAAATTTTCCGTATTTGACTTGTCATTTGCTAAATGAGTTTCTGGTGAAGCAACCTCGGGCTAATGTTGAAAAGTCAACATTTTCATTATTATTTTTCAGAACAAGTTTTTAAAAATGTTTATTCTTTATCTGAGATCCTCATACTTCCTTTAAAAGCTGAGGATGTTGAATGTTCGTCTGAATTGTGACGCTACGTGGACTAGCATGTTGGTCGATATCAAGGTTTCGCAGGAACATACTGCCTCCATTTTCCTGGCTGCTCTGGAGATGGAGGCAGTATGTAAACCTCCCTGAGGTGCTTTTCATCTCATCAGACTTGTCTTCTCTTGAGATGTAACAGAGCTTCGAAAATTAAAATCTGATTTTGGAGGGTCTGACTGGTGACTAGTAGATTTTTCTTACTTGAAATAGAGAAAAATCCAGACTGCTATGCCGAGTGCGACGAGGGAAATGGAGTAGCCGATGAAGTATAAGGTTGTCGCCATCTCTACCCCAGTCTCGGTCTGCCCTTCCAGCGGCACATCGATACACGTCCTGTAATTCGTGTAATTGTCCCATTCGCCGTTGCTGTGACAGAACCTGCTGGCGTTCTCTGCGAAGGAAAGCAAGACCACTGTCAGTGGGAGTTCAACTACAGAAAGTAATTAACTACGCTAACAAATTGGATAACTACAACCTGTGGCTCTACTGCCCTTGAATTGCCACACTGAAGGTTACTTGATATATTCAGACATTTGATAGGGCTGAAGATTTCTGTCTTCTGGGTTGTTGCGCCGTGTAGTCTGGTAGATATTTACCAACGTTTCAGAGGTCATGCTGCCTAAGTCATCAGGGCGATTCATTAGCGCTACAACCCAGAAGACAGAAATTTTCATACTTACCGCTGTGAAAACCTCAAATCATACATATTTGGTAGGGTTCCTTGGACAAGTGATCAGCCCGTCGTGAGGCCTCTGCCTACACGCAGGACAAACATCCATGCATTGAGTGGGATTTGAACACACGGTCATAGTGTCCTAGGGAACAAGCTACTGTGACCGGCATAATAGATAACTAATAACTTACAATCTTGCTAAGTAGGTAATTAACTGTGTGAATGGTTATAGGCGATTCCATTCAGACTTGGCTAATCTACCAAAAAAGACTTCGTTAGTTGTTTAAATAATTATTTACTTACTTACAAATCTGGACATTGACAACAAGAGCTAAAAAAATATTAGGTGTTTCTAAGGGGTTCTGGCAATGGTGAAGTATAATCTGGGTTGCTGAGTTTCTGGACTTTGTCCATCTTCTGGTATTATAAAAAAAACAAAAATACAACTTTTCGAAAACCGGACGTCTTCATCCTTAGATGAATGGAAGACACAGAAAACGATGAAGAGATCAAAATAATTCCAATGGCGACGGAAAGTAACACAGGTTCATACCTTAAAGTTTATTAGACTTATAATGAAAATACTTTCAGCTTACTCTGGACACCCCTTAAAACTATAAGAGCACGCGAACCAAATTACCGCAACGTATTAGCCTTTAACCTTGACGTTCAGACCCCTTTTATGGTTAATTCCGCGTTGTGAAAAGTTTACCTTTTTGTTGGGACGTAATCTATATAACGTATAGAGTCCAAGAGACTTTCTATTACAAAGACAGAGAGAGAGAAACTATATGTATATGACTTTTAACGTACTGTGGTACTGTCACAGTAGAAATGTATAACCCTCTCAGCGGTCATGGCTGTGTTTGAAATAATTGATCAAAAAGCAAGATAGAAAATAAATTATAAAAAACAGAAAATTAGAAACCTAGACGTAAGGTAAGAAATAAAGAATGAACAATATAGAAAGAGGAAAAGAAAGAGAGGCAAAGGAAGAAGGAACGAGACAAAAAAATGTAAGGAAGGAAATATAAGCCACCGGTGCATACACACAACTTTATTACCAAAGCAGAACCTTTGCACTTCGCCCTTGAACTGACGCGTGACGCGAACTTCGCATGTTATGTCACAGTATCCGCACTCATGACCTTCCAAAAGTATTTTTTCAGACACTACTATTTGTCTTTAACACGCAGCCATCGAGAATATATCGACAGCAATGTCTTAAAACATGATCACGACAGAGACATTCACACCCAGTAATGGGATTCATGTACGCGGCGCTACTAATAACACGCCGATCCAAACAACGAAACTGCAGAATCATTCTTGTGAATATTTCATTTGATTCCGTGAAGTACGTTCTAGTTTAAAATATTTGTATCAAATAACCACACACATTTATAACATTATTATTACTCAATTTCAGACAAATTTTTTCCAACATGTGTATAATCCGCGTATTACTACATTTAAGACCATATACACTCTGCAGCTGTCAGTTACTTCGGCTATTTTACATTTCACAGGAGATTTAAATTCAAACTCTAACACAATATTCAATAAAATACACGCAGTTCTTGATAAGCTGATACTTGCTACGCTGGCAAAGAAAATTCCGTCTCTGATGGTATCCAGTTCACACACTCATATATAAGTTCAACAACCAGTTGGTTTAAGATCATCCACTCTATACCTAGGTCTTGCAAGTACTACACTTTTTAAAACTATTTAAAAAAGCAAATACCTGTAGAAAAGATCCAGTTCTGCGGGCGCCCGTTCGTTTCATTTACCTACATAATGGCGGTCCTTCGTTTCTTTTTCGAAAATTATGCAAGTTTTATTTTGTGACAAAGTAAAACGTGAGAGGAAACTTGAAATACTGTGCTGGGGTTTTACAATTATTTTACTATTTTTTCACTTAATTGCGTTTATTCAATCTGGGGCGTGTTAGTACGTTCACAGAAGTTGTAATTTACAAGTACTTCAGATTGACTTTTGACACCATTGCCTTTAAATTGTAGTTCTCCGGTGTTAAAAATGCAAGGAATTCTTTACCAAAGTCAGTCCATAAGAAGAAACCTCATACTGGAAGTGCGAAGGCAAGAAGGAAAATTAATAAAGAGTCAGATTAAAAGAGAAAATTTGTATAAATCTCACAGAGACTCGATATGTTCTCCGCGACTCACATGATAAATGTCAAACGATAACCCAACTTGTCTCAAACTTTGTACAGGATGTCCCTAATGTTGGAAGCTATGGCAACTTTGATTCGAATTTCTTGTAAACTTACGCACCAAACTCCTCTGTTGTGGGTTATAAATTTTTAAAACTATCGCCATCTAGCAGAGGACCACAACGACAATATTTATCCGGGTAATTTGTAAGAAAACTTTGAAAGCTTTTCTGTCGACTGGTGTGGGTGTAAAATTCTAAGTTTGAATGTGTAAAGTTCTTTTCCGTGCATCCTGTATTATTTGTGCCAATAGACAGGATTCTATAGATACGTGCTATTCACTACAGCCTGGGAGGCGTACATTTTAAATAAAGGGGAAAGTGGAATGACCACTTCTTTATGGAAATATTTTCACAGTGTTAAGAAAATATGCTAGACACGGAGCTGGAACTGCGAGAATATTGAAAGGTCCAAGGGGAGAGATGACTCAGATAGACTGAATTCAATCTCCGATAATATCCTGCATCCATCTTTTGTGGCGTACGTTCAAAGAGAACTCTCATAATGATCGACACAGTGTTTCAACAGGACCTCCTGTTCATTTCTGACAACTTTTTGATAGCGTTTTGCGTTAAGCTGCTTATGTTTCGAAGTTCCATCTGTTATGTTAACTGCGTTTTACAGCATATTGTGTTGTGCTTTTTTATTTCAATACGCTATAAATGCAATTATATTGATACTGTTCCTTGATACTAGAAGAAAGAAATGGACAGATAGAAAAAAAAGACGGCAATATAACTTGATTTCCTGAATGCGTGTTATATGGAACAGAAGATGCAGTAAGGCAGTATTATCAATTCTGATATAAATAATCGAAGTTTGCTACATTAACCCAGGATAAATGTTGTTTTCTTCTGTGAGG